ATTTAATAATTATTATATCAACTTAAAACCAACAGGTCGAATGTATGTATTATTGACAGCGCAAAAAATTCAAAGAGCCGATTATTGACATACTACATTATGGACCGTAATTTATGAAATGAAATGTTTTATTTATTTTTTTCTACTAAATAAAATACTTAGAATTGATCAAAATTATTTTATAGATTTCTTGAAGATATTTTTAGTGATATAAAATTATTTGGCACATTTTTATTAGAAGTTAGTTCTTGGTTTCGCCGATAGGTGGCTGCGCCCTCTCGCTTGTAGGAATATTTTATCAGAGTATATATAAGGTAAAACCCGCTTTTATTGACACTATAAGAGTGATCATGAATATTTGAATTTTTTTATCATGTTTTAAATCAATATTGTCAATTTTTTTATAGGACACCTTAATCATTGTTTTTACTTATATAATTTAATTAATTAACTTTAATAGCAATACATTTAATAATTATTACATCAACTTAAAACCAACAGGTTGAATTTATGTATTATTGACAGCGCTAAAAATTCAAAGAGCCGATTATTGACATACTACATTATGGACCGTAATTTATGAAATGAAATGTTTTATTTATTTTTTTCTACTAAATAAAATACTTAGAATTGATCAAAATTATTTTATAGATTTCTTGAAGATATTTTTAGTGATATAAAATTATTTGGCACATTTTTATTAAAAGTTAGTTCTTGGTTTCGCCGCTAGGTGGCTACGTCCTTTCGCTTGTAGAAATATTTTATTAGAGTATATATAAGGCAAAACCTTCTTTTATTGACACTGTAAGAGTGATCATGAATATTTGAATTTTTTAATCGTGTTTCAAATCAATATTGTCGACTTTTTTTATAGGACACCTTAATCATTGTTTTTACTTATATAATTTAATTAATTAACTTTAATAGCAATATATTTAATAATTATTATATCAACTTAAAACCAATAGGTCGAATGTATGTATTATTAACAGCGCAAAAAATTCAAAGAGCCGATTATTGACATACCATTGACCCTATTATTGACAGGTCTTTTATTACAGTTAAATTTATATAAACAATAATCATTTTTACTAACTAATCCAAAAATATCAATAATTTTTATTATTTTAAAATTCGTTTAAGACCTAGCTTTTCTATATTTTTTACCAGGTTTTTTTTTAGCAATTTTTTCTAGTCTCAAATACTTTGATTCTTATAAAATACATGACAGTATGTGAACATTAATACGTTGATATGTATGTTAAGGGGATTGGTTACCTTACATTATGGCCTATGTCGTTAGTTGACGCAAGTTAATTTTTGTGTCCCCATCATTGACATCCGCTATTTTTAAATTAATTTTAACTCAATTAAGTATAAATAAATGATTATATGGTTATTTAGACTATAAATAATCTAAAATAATTTTAAACAATGCAATTACGTAAAAAAAACATTGGGAAATCTGGATTTTAAAATAAGGTCTTTCTTAAAAATATTGTTGAGAAATTACAAACGTATAAGCAGTTGTGGCCTACTTAAAAAAAAAGAAATTTTTTTGCGGTAAATAGTTATACCTTAAAATTAAATTTTAATATTTTTAGTAGATTTTATAGAAATCTAACTATTGCATTGGTCCTCATGACGAAACTTTTGAAAAATTTTGATGAAAATGAAGTTAGCCGACGTTTCAAAATTTTTAGAAATTTTTTATTGAAAAAATTTCAATTAAACAATTAAAAAAAAAATTTCACATGTAAAAAACTTGAAAAACTATAAGTGTAATTTTTTAGAAATATCTTTTTAGTTGTAATTTAATTAATAAAAAAAATCAAAATTTTTTAGACGTCTGCTAACTTCAGTGTCGTAAATTTTATTATATTTCGACTCAGCTCATCAAGCGGATTCAGAAATTGCATATGATTCAAAAGTTTATATATGTATGCATTATATACGATATAATCGGCCTTGTCTCTTCTCTAACTCCCGCAATTCTATACGGGTCTCAATAGGTGCGTTCCACTAAAGCGCTCAAAATCATCGCGCTACGTGTATTTAGATAGGATTGTGGTCGTTTTTAGCGCTTAGTGAAACGCACCCAATAAAAAGTAACATACTTATTCTTGGGACGATTTCTGAGATTAAATCCTAAGATGAGCCAAATCTGTCGATTAGTTAAGAAATGAGAGCAATTTAAAAATTTTTGAAAATTACAAAAATTTTCACTTTTACTGTATTTCTGTGCAATAACAATTGAACGCGATATTCTACCAAATTTCTGTAAATTGCATCTGAAAGCTTATTAATTGCACTTTAATTTGCATACCTCACTATCAGTCTAGGTAAAAAATTACTTACTTTCTCAGACAGATTTAATGAAATTTTACTTTTGCTTTCGTTTTAATGTCATTGTGTTATTGTTTATTATTATTATTTTTTAAAAAATATTTTTTTTTATTCGAGAAATCTACTTCCACTTCGGCTGCCAAATGGTCTTTTTTAATTTTAAAAATATGTAAAATTGTCATGAAATAACAATAATTATTGTGATTATTAATAAATTTTAATAATTAAATAATAGAATTAAATATGGTGTCAATAATAGGGGCTTTTAGTTATATTTAAATAAATTTTCTTACAGATTTGTAAAACTCTGCATCGACAACCGAAACATTTGTTAGACTTTTTGTTAGCTGAATTGGGAACAAGTGGTTCTGTCGACGGTAATAGTCAGCTTATTATTAAAGGAAGATTTCAACAGAAACAAATTGAGAATGTTCTGCGTAGATACATTAAAGAGTATGTAACATGTCATACTTGTCGTTCGCCTGATACAATTTTACAGAAAGATACGAGACTTTTCTTCTTGCAATGTGAAACCTGCGGGTCAAGATGTTCTGTAGCCAGCATCAAATCTGGTTTCCAGGTAATTATTATTATTATTATTATTATTATTCTTATTGTATGTACCAATTGAATTTTTTTTAACGCTAATAATATTTATTAATCAATTACAGGCTGTTACTGGTAAACGAGCTGCCATTCGAGCTAAAACAGCTTAAGAAGCTTGCAATAATTTGTATGTTATACAATTCGTTGAAGAAAAAAATCCAAGTCTCTGGTAAAAATCGTATTGTATCAGTAAATAAATTTTTCAATTTTACCGAATATTTTTTTTTGCAATTTTTTACAAACATAGAAATTTTTAAATTAATTAAAATAATCAACAACTAAGAATTATAATGAATTGAAATAAATTATTAAGTGATGAATAAAAAATTACTACTGAGTCATTATTTTTATTAATATTTTATTTTTAATAAAAATATAATTCTCTGTCAACTACATAGAAGAAAAATATTTCATATACAAATTTTCAGATTATGTTTCTGAAATTCATAAAAATAGTCATTAAACTTTGTAAAAAAAATGAGTAATAAAAATAAGCGATATTATAATATTAGAAATTACATAAATTAATTTTTTTTAATAATTATTCAACTAGTATATAAAAAAAGTATGATTACAAAATAGAATATGATTATACATTAGAGTGGCGCAAAAAAAAAACCGACTTTAGTTTTTTTTTTTTTTTTGTCAGTTTTTGATGTTTTAAGAGCCCTCTCCAAAGGACAGCTCAAAAAAAAATTTTTAAGAGGTGGCTCCAAATTTTTTTAAATTTCAAAAATCGAAATTTTTTTTTCTAATTTTTTTTCTCGTTACGTCATAATTTTATAGACCAAAAAAAAATAAGTTTCTGAAAGTTTCAATTCAAAATTAAAATTTTGAAAGGTCGCTCATAATTTTTTTTAAATTTCAGAGTCAAAAAATGCTATTCCAAATAGTCACTAATAAATTAAAAAAAATTATAAGCGACCTTTTAAAATTCACATTTTGAACTAAAACTTTTAGGAAAACCTTTTTTTTTTTGGTCTATAAAATCATGACGTAACGAGAAAAAAAATAAAAAAAAAAAATTCGATTTTTGAAATTTAAAAAAATTTAGAGCGACCTCTTAAAAATTTTTTTTTGAGCTGTCCTTTGGAGAGAGTTCTTAAAACATCAAAAACCAACATTTTTTCACTCGAAACTAAAAAAAAAAAAAATTGTTTTTTTTGCGCTACCCTTTAATATTATACATACAATAGAATAAATTTAATTGTTGACTAATTTAGTGATAGTAATATGTACTAACAATGAAGCTAATTCAAGATCTTCACTGTACTGATTTTTTAATGGAACACTACGATAACCAGTTCTTAAACATTTAACTGGATAAGTAGCTTGTCCAATAAAATTACAATCGCCAAAAACATCTTCATCTTGGACTAAAAATCTAATAAACGCAAAATTAACATTAACAATATTAAATTCACAAGATTCATTCCATATTGGATTAAATCCATTATCAGAAATAGTTTTAGTTGTTAATTTATTACCATTATCATAATCAGCGCCTATTATTTCAACTTCAACGTATGGACTAGCAATATTACTTTTACCAGCTTTGTGTAAATGTCTAGCTCCAATTACAACTAATTTTATTCTCATACCGTCAATATCTTTAAATATTTTTTTATCATACGCACTATAATTGTCATTAAACATAAAATCAGGTTTAAGAATATACCCAGTGAAACCATTTTCACGGAATTTAGCTTGATTCAATTGCATTGACTTATCACCTGTTTGATAATTAAGAGCTACCATTTGACACCCAGCATTCCACAAAGGTATCGGATTATAATTTGAAGAATCAATACGTTGGCCTTTTGGATAAACCCGACTAAATTGTACCTGATGATACTTAACAAAATATTTATGCTCCGTCTGACAAATTAATTTTTCAGCTTTTGTTTCCGGAAAACTACTCATTTCATTATAAACAAAATTTTTTTTATTTATACGATCAATATCAAAGGGTACAGATCGGAAATAAATAATAAGATTAGACATTTCTTTAGCAATTCTCCAAGCACGTTCAATTTCTTTGCTTTGATTTTCCCTTAAATTAGCATGCTGAGCAGTTTCATTGATAATTTTCATCCACTCTTCAGCAGTTTCTTCAGATTGAGTTGCAGCTTGAAATACAGTGCACAAATTTTGATTTTTAATTGTAATAGGATGCCATATCATTCCCTCTCTATCAGGAATAGCTGTTTCAACTTTAACAACAACCCCAGTAATATCAAATGATCCTTTTTGTAAATTACCAAGCATCGAATCAGATTGGATTGTTATATCAATATTATTATTACTGCAACTTCCACTACTGTTAAAATTATTTCTATCTTTAGTCTCTATTTCTTCAACATAATTTTCAGGAAACCAATGCTGCTTTTTTCCACCATAATCACCACGCCACCAACCACCATCTTGCTTATGTACATTAGTGATAATAGCATGCTTAACAAATGTCAATTCATCATCACGGCTTGCTTTATAATCAAAAGTAGCTTTTACAGTAACTCTGGAAATAAATGTTGCTGGGTCAATATAACCAGGTATTCCATAAATAGGACAATTGCCATTACCATCACCATTATTCTCATTGCCATTACCATTATCACCATTGTATTCTGATTCCGAAAGGATTTCATCAACATCGCTTCGTCTAATTGAATTAGACAGTCGTGTTTTTTTATACAATGGATTCCGTTGGTAATAATTAACTAATTCGACCAAACTTTCAAATTGTATTGAGCCAACAGTGTACAAACGTCCTTCTAATTTAATACGACAGTGTTTTATTTTATTCTCAGCGCGAAATGATATCGCATACGTATTTAATTCTTTATCACTTGGACGTACTAAAAATGAACCATTTGTTGGTACGCGTTTTAATATATCTTCAGCAAGAGTACGCGTGCAATCAGGATGCCACCATTCTTTTTCTTCATGCTTACACGGTTGTGGTACTGGTTCACGTAATGTTATTACAAATTCTTGACTGCGCAATGAATTATTGCGATAATGCGTTATTAAACTATACAAACTATCAAAACAAACACTATCTATTAAATAATATTGTGTTTTTCCATATTGTTGTTTAAGTTTAATCCGACAGTGATTAACTTTGCCTTTACGCCAAAATGACAAGCAATAATCACCAACAAATGTTACACACTCACGTACTAGAAAAGTACCATCACCTAAACGTGAATAACGACGTAATAATTCATCAGCTTCTTCACGTCCACGTGCTAATTTACCATGAAACCATTTTTCTCCAAAATGTAATTCATCATTTGGTACACCCTCTAAACCTTGACGATTAATATTCAATGACGAGACTATATCATCTTCTTCCTCAGTTTCAACTTCTGAAGTTTGTGAAAATGTATCGGTGTAAAAAAGATGCTTTGATGTTAATATAAAAAAATGAGGGTACCATTTATCGTCCGCCGAATCATGTAAATAAAGTATACCATTTTTAATAGTATTACGTAAATCCATTTCATAACTCATGTTTGTATGATTAGTGTTATTACTATTAATACTGCTAATATTACTATCACCGTTACTGTTACTACTTATGTTATTACTACTATTGCTATTACTATTATTACTGTTAGTACAAAAACTACTACTACTATTACGTGCTATAAATGTTGATTCGTCAACACCGTCGGGTAGTTTTTTGTGTTTTAAAATTATTTTACCGCGCAATGCGTAAGGTGATGGAAGACATGTTTCATTTTTTTCTGCTGGTTGCGTTAATAACATATCACCAAATACTTCTTGCATTGCTGCTGCCATTCTTCGTTGTTGTGGTAATGTACAGTTGTCTTCGATTGATAAAATTACTGGATATCTGTGTAATTTAATAATATTATTTTATTATTACTGATACACACTGAGAGAAAAAATTTCTTTTGAAAAAAATAAACATTTTTTTTTTACAAGAAATTAATTTGTTGAAAATTTTGGGTAATTATTTTTGGATATTCTCATTTTTGGATAAAATTTCTATTTTATCTTTTTTTGATATATATTTTTTTGAAAAGTAGGGCAAATGCACCAGTTGTTGACCGGTCACCAATTAGTTGACCGATGTATAAAAAAGTTAATTAATTAATATTTTACAAGGGTTTTTTTTTCTTAAAGTATTAAAATAAAAAAAAAAATGGCATTTAATCATCATAATAAAAAATTACGCAATTAATTGCGCAGTGGTTATAGCTTTAAAAAAATATTCTGAGTTTGTTTACAACGCAACCAGCCATAAAGCGGTCAAAAATAACTAGCGTACAATTGGAGAGTGAGTGCATTTCATCATTAATTTAGTGATATATATCGGCATAATATAAAATATTTTAGTTTTATTATGTTAATTAAAAATCAGATTCCAACTTTTTTGAAAAAACAAAGTTAAATTATAAGTTTTAATATTATTTTAAGACCGGTCAACTATTGGATCCGTCAGAAGCCATTTACCCAGTAAAAAATTCATCCGGTCATTTATTAGACCCTCTGATTTTATCACAATCCAATTAATGACCGTATATTTATAATACTAACTTCTTCACCTCAAAATTAAATCTGTCAAGTGTTTAAAGTACTTTAGTCATTCAATATTTTGTAAATATAAAAATAATCATTATAAAATGTATATTTATAATTAAAATAATACTTAAAATCTTTTTTGATTATTAAATTTTATTTTGTTCTAATTTTTTTAGTGTACGGTTATATCAAAGAACGAATTATTAGAAGAAAAAATTGCTAAGCAATTAAAAAAATAAAAAAGAGTTACAAGCTAGTAAAAAAGCTTTAATTAAAAAAAAGAAGGAGAAGAATAAAAAAAATTTCAAGTGAATCAGAAGAACTATCGTCATCAAAATGAATTTGTGAATATTTGTGACCTAAAGAAATGTGACTTTATATGTTAATTATTGCTATTATTTATGTTTAGTTTTGTTAAAGATGTCGTTAATACTACAAAAGTGCTGCATAAATTTAATTACATACATATAGTTTACAAAATTACTTATAATTATTCGAGCGGTCAATTAATTGGAGAACGGTCGGTCATTAATTGGGTTTCTTCGGTCAATAATTGGTGATTTAGTATTTCAACATTCAAATAACAAAATTAATATAATTTTGTTAATTTTTATTATAAATAATTATTAATTATTATTAATTAAGTATTCAACTTTAATAAAATCCATTACAAATTGTTTTAGTAAGTTAATAGATTTTTTACAGCTTAGTACAGAAAAAGAAAACTTTAATCGGTCAATAATTGGTGCATTTACCCTACAAAGAAATTAAAAAAAAAAAATTCAATTTTAAAAAAGTTTAAAAACTATAAGTGCGATTTTTTAAAAATATTATTTAGTTTTAATTTAATTATTAAAAATTTTTGTTTAATTGAGGTCTTTTTTTTGCTTCATGTTGATTTTTTTTTTCTGTGAGTTCTCGGCGATACTCAAGACATGTAAGAATCGTGGTTTTCCCTCGACAACGTTTTCTGGGAGGAAAATCTCTAGATTTTGATGGTAATAGCTTAAGTAAAAAAAAAATTTTTTTATATGATTTTTTGGGGAGGGGGCCGTCGTGCCCCAGAAAAAAAAATTTTTTTTTTCGATTTTTTGCAAAATGTCGACTAATTCGTTCGAAATAGATGGAAAATAAATGAATTTGATGGTTAAAAGCCACAAAATAAAAAAATTTGCTTAAGGAGGCCGTCGTGCCCCAGGCTCCCCTACATGTAGTTTACAAAATTACTTATAATTATTTCAGCGGTCAATAATTGGTGATTTTAATATTTCAAGATTCAAATAACAAAATTAATATAATTTTGTTAATTTTTATTATAAATAGTTATTAATTATTATTAATTAAGTATTTAACTTTAATTAAATCCATTACAAATTGTTTTTAGTAGGTTAATAGATTTTTTTATAGCTTAGTACAGAAAAAGAAAACCTTAATCGGTCAATAATTGGTGCATTTACCCTAATAAAATTTTTTTTAACTGTTTATTTTTTTGTTTTTTTTTTTTCAAAAAAAATATATCAATTAAATCAAATAGAAATTTCGTTCAAAAAAATAAAAATTAAAATGGTGGACCCCACTTGTAAATAATCATCCAATTTTATTTTTTAGCTGAAGAAATCAAAATTTTTATCACAGTAACTTTCTTGTCGAAAAAAAGTTGTTTAAATGTGGGGAAAAAAACAATTTTGGATGAAAAGTTTCAAGTTCTCTATCTAAAATTGTTTTTTTTTCTATATCTAAAAAACTTTTTCCAACAAGAAAGTTACTGTGAGAAAAATATTTATTTCTTCAGCTAAGAAATGAAATTCTGAAAATTTTCAAAAAAATATTTTCTTGTCAGAAAAATATTCATCTTTTTTAAAAGGAATTTTTTTTCTCAGTATTATAATTACTATAATTATGATTAATAAATTAATTTAGTAATAACTTACTCAGATGTGACGAAAGCGTGTTCTTTAATAGTCTTGATGACATCTAAAAATTTAATTTTCGTTGTCAAGGTATGACCGTGAAATATAAATGGCATACCATCAGGACCGTCCCAACAATCGAGTTCAATGCATCTACAACCAGCTCGCAATGCTCTTATATAAGCTTGACAGCTACTTTCACTGCTTATTTGATCGCCCATCAAATATCTGCAAAAATAGATTTTTTTTATATAAACTGAATAATATATAAATAAATATTTAATATAATAGTAAGAAGAAATAATGGTAATTATTTATAAGGTGAAAAATTAAGGAGGAACAAAGGTCATTTTCGAGAATTCTTTTGACAAGGAAAATGAAAGAATTTGGGGATCGAATTTTTTTTATTTTATTAAGGATACATTAAAGATTATTACCCTAAATTTTTTATTGAAAAATATTGAATTATTACAAAGTTATTAGCAGCCTCGTAGAGCACTAGAAAAAATTTCCTCCTCCATGGTTGCATCGATAACTCAAAAACGGATCATCTGAAAATAAAAACCCAAATTGCTTTTTAATCAGTAAGGATGTAGTTATTGTTGCACGGACGGAATTTTGAAAATTTTGATTATAAAGATTTTTTTAGCCGGGTTAAAAAAAAAAAAAAAAAAAAAAAAAACAGTAAAAATAATGAGAAAATTTTTAATGTCACCGTTTTTTTGAAAATTTTAATTTTCAAAATTCCGTACGTGCAACAATAATTACATCCTTACTGATTAAAGAGCAATTTGGGTTTTTATTTTCAGATGATCTGTTTTTGAGTTATCGATGCGACCATGGAGGGGGAAATTTTTTCTAGTGCTCTACGAGATTGTTAATAAGTTTGTAATAATTCAATATTTTTTAATAAAAAATTTAAGGCAATAATCTTTAATGTACCCTTAATAAAATAAAAAATCCAATTCTCTAATTTCTTTATTTTTCCTGTTAAAAAATTTCAAAGATTTTGATAGCTTTTTTACCTTCAAAAGTTGGAAAAAATTATGGCTCTCATGTTTTTGGATAAAATTTCTATTTTATCTTTTTTGATATATTTTTTTTGAAAAGTACATAAAAAAACGAATAATTAAAAAAAAAAAAAAGTTGAATATCAAAATTTTCTGAAAAAATTTATAAATTTTTTTGAAAAGTTGTTTAAATTGTGATAATCAACCTTTTTTTTTTTTTTTTTTTTTAAATTGTTCATTTTTTTATGTATTTAAAAAAATATATATCAATGAAGTCAAATAGAAATTTCGTTCAAAAAAATTAGAATTAAAATGATTGACCTTACTTGTAAATATTTACCAATAATTTTTTTAAATATGACAAATTTTAGCAATAAAAAAATTAGTACAGTAACAGTTTAAAAAAAAAAGTCTAATATCACAATTTTGTAAAAAATTTACAAATTTTTTTAAAATTTATTAAAATTGTGATAATCAAGTTTTTTTTTTAAATTGTTCATTTTTTTATGTATTTAAAAAAATATATATCAATGAAGTCAAATAGAAATTTCGTTCAAAAAAATTAGAATTAAAATGATTGACCTTACTTGTAAATATTTACCAATAATTTTTTTAAATATGACAAATTTTAGCAATAAAAAAATTAGTACAGTAACAGTTTAAAAAAAAAAGTCTAATATCACAATTTTGTAAAAAATTTACAAATTTTTTTAAAATTTATTAAAATTGTGATAATCAAGTTTTTTTTTTAAATTGTTCATTTTTTTATGTATTTAAAAAAATATATATCAATGAAGTCAAATAGAAATTTCGTTCAAAAAAATTAGAATTAAAATGATTGACCTTACTTGTAAATATTTACCAATAATTTTTTTAAATATGACAAATTTTAGCAATAAAAAAATTAGTACAGTAACAGTTTAAAAAAAAAAGTCTAATATCACAATTTTGTAAAAAATTTACAAATTTTTTTAAAATTTATTAAAATTGTGATAATCAAGTTTTTTTTTTAAATTGTTCATTTTTTGTCTTAAAAAAAAAAATTAAAATGGTTGACCCCACTGGTAAATATTTATTAAAATAATAAATAATTACGTGTTGTGTGAAGATGCTATCCAATAATGTGACAATGGTCGTGTCATATCATGAGTAACATTGTCGAACTCATGATTCCAAATATCGTTGTGCTTGGAAAATAAAAAATTAATAAATTCTAACGACGTAAAGTATGGATCCTGTACATGACGCTGTGGATCTTGTAAATAATCAGTCATAAAATGTGATACATCGTGACTATTATTACCCAACAGTTGATCATGCTGTTGATGAGTTAGAAAATTTTGAAAATCTTGTAAACTAAATGTATTTCCAGTGGATGAATAACTTAGCAATTTTTTCCAATCAGGAAATGTCGTGTAGTCAATTAATAATTTATAGAACAAAACAACAAAATCATCAAATCCTAATGCAGTGCGATTTCGTGTATCGACTTGTTGAAACACTTGACGCAGTTTATTTGTTGATATTTTACAACTAGCACGTGGCATAAAACTTTTAATATCTTTCAGTGTTACCGTTTCATCAGTATTTTCCATGAAATAAAATTCTTTTCGTAACCAACGTTCAACTTGTAGAGGGTATGGTGCTTTTATTGTATCTTGTACTAGATAACGCAAGCCTTTTACCCATAATTCACACTCTTTTTCGCTTAGTGCTGAAGCTGATAATGTCTTCAAACGAAATTCAGAGCCATAGTATATAATAAAGCACCCAAAATACTCAGCTCTTTTAGAATCTTCAGGCCATTTATCAAACTCGCGTGAATTTTTTCCAACTACTACGTCCTTTATTTCACGTATTTCAATGAACCCATCAAAAGTACGTTGAGATTGAGATTGAGGTTTTGCCCACATAACTTGACGTGTTTCTCGGCGAATCATTAAAGTTTTCTTCTCTGGTTTTTTACGCTGGAAAAATTTTGTTACTAATGTGCCACGTTCTAGTTGGCTTATTATTTGCTCCATTTCTGGGATTATTCCGCTCATTTTGTCCACTTATTTATTGCAGTCCAAAAATAATAAATAATTAACAGTTTTCTTCTTTATTAAAAAATGAGTGAATAACTTGATCAACAACTAGCTCAGTGATGATCATTTAATTTGATTATTTGCACGTATCTGAAATAAATAAATTCACAGTATATAATTTAAATTATTTGTTTAAATTGTATAATAACAAAATTAGCCATGAAAATTAAGTTAGCCGACATTTAAAAATTAGAAAGAATTTTTTTATTGAAAAGATGGCTAACAAAAAAAAAAAAAAGAAAAAAAAATTGTCATTTGTTAAAAACTTGAAAAACTGTAAGTGCAATTTTTTAAAAATATTTTTTTTTCTAATTTAATTATTAAAAAACAATCCAAAAATTAAAAACGTCGGCTAACTTAAATAGTAACATAAATTAGCCATAATAATAAAATTAGCCGAAGTTTTTAATTTTTTGATTATTTTTAATAATTAAATTAGAACAAAAAAAATATTTTTAAAAAATTGCACCTTCAATTTTTCAAGTTTTTTTACAATGAAAAATTATTTTTTTGTAATAGTTCTTTGATAAAAAAAAATCACAAAAATTTTTAGATGTCGCCTAACTATGATACTAAAGTTAGCTGACGTTTTTAATTTTTGGATTGTTTTTTAATAATTAAATTAGAAAAAAAAATATTTTTAAAAAATTGCACTTAAAATTTTTCAAGTTTTTAACAAATGAAAAATTATTTTTTTGTAATAGTTCTTTGATAAAAAAAAATCACAAAAATTTTTAGATGTCGCCTAACTATGATACTAAAGTTAGCTGACGTTTTTAATTTTTGGATTGTTTTTTAATAATTAAATTAGAA